CCCCCCCCCCCCCGAACCTATCACAGGCTGCCTGTAATAAACCTAACCGATCCTACAATCGGCCCATCAATGACCATACCCATTTGACCCAACCCCCCTTGTGACCCAAACCCCCTTGATTCAGTGCGTAACTAACATACAATGACCCACTAACATACAATGACCCACAACGTTCATGATCCTCCAAAAAAGACCTCGCCACCCGGCATCGACTTCTTAACCCGGCATCGACTTCTTAACCCGGCTTCGACCTCTTCACCCAGCATCGACCTCTTCGGTCGGCCACTGGCAGATGAGTACGTAGTTCAGTCGCCGTGGCATGCAGCGGGACCGAACCACTTCCAGGGCGCGCATCATCATGTTGACGCCGAGTTCCCAAAGCTTATGACTGTGGCGTTCGTTGAACAAAAGGATGTCCAGGAGCTGTCGCCGGAATACCAGTCGTGCCGCGAAGGCATCCTTGCCGGCGTAAGATACCATCACCGCCGGTAACGGCCTGATTCGCCAGTCTCTCCGTTGGTAGATCTTGGAAATCGCCACCCCCGGTTCGAACCATTGTACCAACTTCGACAATCCCGCAGCCCCCACGTCCGCCTCCACCAGACACCGCACCCGTTCCTCGTAACGCTGCACATACTCCAACGCATGGCTGCTCAACGGCGGCGTTTGTACAGGGATACATGCATCCTGACCTTGCACACACGTTTGCTTCTCTAGCACACACGTTTGCAGGTCTTGGCCCGCCGTTTCGTCGTCTGGCGCACATGTTTCCTGGTCTGGCGCATCCTGATTCGGCGCGCACCTTTCCGTGCTGGATTGCAAAGCCTTTTTAGCTTGTTGCGCCGAGAACCGGGCGACGCGGTGGGTATCCCACAGGTTGGCCACGATGATGTCAAAGTCGCAGAGAAGCCGTAGTAGATCATTGGATGACGCAAATAGAACCTTCACAATTCGGCCGTCCTCAAAAAGAGACTTAAACCGTTCGCTAGCCTGCATCTGGCCGTGCAACTTCAAGACATCGAACACGTAGCACCCCTCGTCGTTGCACATCTGTATGGAACTGGTGAAGTCATCGTGGAACTCCAAATCCACTCCTATGTAATTGAGCCTTGATGGCGGAGCACCGAACGCAGGAGCTTTCGGAGTAAGGACGTCGACGGCCAGCTCGAAGGCTTCAGTTGTGTCCACTAACTGTATTTTACTCCAGGGCGTCAGCTTGTTCAGCTCTTCGATATCGTTACGGACTTCCCATTCCTCAACCAGCTGCTGAATGTACCTGGTCTTGTCCGCTAGGATATCCTGGTAAAAAGTGTTACAGTTTGCATCCATCTCCAAAAGTCTCTGACTCAGGACACTCCAATTCAACTCTTCACACCTATCGTACATCGTCAAGTCCACGGTCGCTGAACCTAGAGTAGCTTTACCCGGGTCATCAAGCAACAATGGCGCACGATCAGTCGGGTAGCTAGACCCGCTCGCGTTCGTGACGCTCAGAGTCGTGGAGCCGCTAACGGAACCAGCAGCCGGCCGGAGCCCGTCGGTCTCCAATTTATGACGCCAGTAAACATTTGGCAGGTACACTTTTGTAGTGCTGTCCAGGATACTAGCGATGTCAACGAAATCCTTCGAGCTAGCAATCACAGCGCCGGTTTTAATCAACTCCTGCCACTGCTGCTGGTCCTCCTTACCTTCATTCTCGCGATCAACAATGTACGATTTCATGAGTCTTACGAGCTCGATATCTCCCTTGTCAACCGCGTTAAGGAACAGCCGAGTTGCTACCTCAACATCTCGCTTGTCGTCGAGTCTAGTGAATATGTTAAATGTTTGATAGTTATGGATTTCGAGGGGTTTTCCCTCCTCCACAAACGGTAGCATGCTTGGGAAGCTAGGAAAGCGCGCGCACACACGTGTGCTATCCGAATACCGCCCAACCGAACGTGCAAGTGGCGAAGCCGACGACGATGCCGAAGGCGAACTCACTTTTGCTTCACTCAGTAGCTTCGCCTTTTGATCTAGGAGTCGGTAGACCAACGGATACCCCTCGGAGGCCGTGTTGGGGAGCACTTTGAAGGCAAGCGCTTCGGCCTTGTTCATTCTCTCTAGTCCTTGCAGCATGGTCTGAAGGATGGACTTGCGGCCGGTGGCGTCCAGATGGTATACAAATTGCAGTGTCTGATACAGGAACAAATCAACGAGCTTTGTGGATACGTAAAGATTCTTTTTAACCTTGCTGATTTCGAATGAAAACAAAGGCGAGTCACAGATAATCCGCAGCAGCATCCAACTGTTAACACCGTAGTCCATGCCGGATTCCATAACTATCTCGGTGTACGAGCGGTCTATTGTAGCAGCCTCCTCATCAACTAATCTTCGTTTAGGGTACAGGAGATCGTTGCTGATTGGTCGACCTGTGGTCGATTCATCCGGGAGTGACTCTATCTCAATCCTGTGGGACTCCAAGCCCACATCCGTGTCAGGACTTTCCATCTCGCCGCTCAGAACCTCATGCTCCTCACCTGCTGAGTGAGGCACGTGACTATTCCAACTGGTGACATGTAAGTAAAGCTGAGCAAAATCATCATGCCCCTTCAGACGGAGAACTTGTTTCCCCACATTTCCTCGACAAAACGGACAAGCTCTATTGACCTCATCTTCCCGCGATGTCTGACTCAACTCGGTCAGCACTGTGAAGTCCTGGAACGTCTTCAACCGATCCAAAATCGTCAAGTTCGACTTTGTGTCATGATGGAGTCCGTTGAGGAGACTCTTTGTGTGTCTGGCTGTCCAAACTATATTCGAACAAACTGCGCTTACAACGAATTCTATAAGACTACGCCAATCGACGATGCAATGCTCGCTAATATTTTCATACAACGGTCGCACATACCACTGGAGGAGTGATACGCAAGATATCATAGCAGCTGATAGGTTAAGACGCGGGAACTGGTTATCAACAAATCGCTCCTTTTTCAGTTGCAAGACAGCCGTTTTCGTTCCTGTCATTCTTATCATACCCTCCGTAGAACCACAGTTTGCTTCATCACAGTTATCACCCTTCACCTCATCACAGTTTGCGCTGGAATAGGCCTCGACAGAAACCCTCGTTAGGTAGCCGATAGATCCAATGACTCGGGAAGGAGGTTCCGGTTGTTCGGGCGTCTGGTCATCGCTGCTGGGGAAAGGTGGAAACGGCGAGGACCGGAAGTAGAGCAGCGAGATAGGTAGGGCCTTTTGACCTAGTAGGACGGAGTGAATGGGTGTAACGTAGTGCGCTTGCATAGAACGAGTTTCAGCGCTATTGTCTTTGCCCCCCTCCTTATCAGGAACCTCGTTGATGGGCAGGAGCAGGTATCTGTCTGCGGGTGCGATTTCAGCAGCGTGTTGGCATTTGTGTGCGGCGAGCAGGTCTGCGTGCTTCTTGAGCAGTAGGACAAGACAGGAGCACTGTGAGTTGATGGCTGCAGTGTGTATGAGAAAGTTGACGAGTGACGGAGCGAGGTCCATGTGGTCGAGGAGGAGTGCGAGACAATGAGCACTGCCACCGCGTATGGCGTATTCCAACGCCGTACGGCCGAAGGCGTCGGTAGCTTCAAGATCAGCTCCCTTCTCGATAAGTAGTTTGACGACCTGGTGGTGACCGCGATAGGCGGCACACATGACGGCGTTCCACTCGAGTTGCGTCTTGGACCGGAGGTTAAGGTCGCACCCGTACTCAATCAGCAGCAACAGACCTTGCACGGCGTTGGTCGAGGCCACGATATGGATCGGAGCGTTACCGTCAATATCGAATGTATTCATGGCCCGGTCTCCCTCATGATGTTCTAACAGCAATCGAGCGCAACGGATAGATTCACAAGCATCCACGTTGCCCACGATCTTCACACCACTCCGACCTCCCGCCGGTCCCCACAGCGCCGTATGCAAAGGCGTACGCAACTTGGAGTCCTGAGTGCATGGACTGCAACCATACTCTAACAAAATACTCACCACCTCCGGGTAATCACCCCATGTCGCCTTACACAACGGTGTGCGATCCATCGCACTTTTATCCTCAGCCAACAGCGCCGTCCCCGCCACCAACTCAGTCTCTTTCTCTTTGGTGGACTCATTCCTTTCGCCTGTCAGTTCCATGTTGCCCTTTATCGATTCTTCGATCAGCCATTTCAAACCGCCGGCTTGCCCTACACAGGACGCACAGTAGATCAATGACCGCCCCAAAATGTCCCGGCTGTCCAGAGGCAGTCCCAATTCCTGCAGGTAGGCACAACACTTCAAACAGCCAGAGACGACGCAGTAGAAGAGCGGCGTCATGCCTTCAAAGTCCAAAGCATAGACGTCCACACCCCAGTCCTGACACAGTGCCGCAATCAGGCGACTGGCCTCGCAAATGTGGGCGGAACAGGATTCTGAGCCGTCTCTATCGTACCGCCCGACCTCACAACTGATCAACGACCTAACAGTACTCATCAATTCCCGGCCGGCGAGGTTCCCAGCTACCTCCTTGGCTGTTACCTCCACGGCGGCGGGCTTCTCCGCTGCTGCGTACTTCGCTGCTGGTTCCCAGAGTCCTTCATAGTCGTGCCCGTAGCTGCCGAAATCCGCAAGCCCTGCTTGGTTGCGATGCTTGTTGGTCACCCTACAGCAGCTGGCGGCTAAGTGGATAAGCTTGCTGTAGTTGTTACTGATCTTCGGGTTCCGGTACACACCCAAATCCTGTGTCGACTCCGACCACGGCTTCTCTAGAGCATGTGTCCGTGACCACCGATACATCTGGAAAAACTCCTCCACCGTCATATCCAACGGAACTGACTCGGGCATCGTGTACTTGGCAATGGGCAGCAAGTACTCACTCGCTACAGACCGCCATGTTCGCTCGGAATCAAGTGTCTTCATTATTTTCAACAAAGACCACGACAAAGCGAAGTGCCTCTCACACAACGACCAATACAGCGTGGCCGTGAACGGGTTGGAGAAAATACTCATATCGTCAGTCTCCAGAATCGCCTTAAGTTTCAGTCTGGCATATTGTTTACTGAAGTCGCGACAACTAAAACGCAAATCATACAAATTCTCCGGCACCAGACCCTTCAAATGACGTGCTTGTGATACTACACTGCCGACCTCCTCAACGGCACTAGGAGGCATGGCACTAGGGACGACGGCGTTGGAGGTCGCGGTCCGCAAGGAAATTTTTCTGAGTTCTTGGAAACCATCCATTCTGGTGATTTGCACAGGTCTATAACGCCAGAAATTGCAAGCATTTAGCGCGGAGAAGAACCTCTCGAATGCTGCTGGAGGCAAACGGGGGAGAGCAGGCACGTCGAGCCAAGTCTGGAACGCCCGATCCTTAAGCACATCACGCACCTTTTCATCGCCCTGGCCCGTCTCGGGACTTGCTCTCGTCTGACGACTCGGTCTGATGTCCTTCGTTCGGACGTCTCGCAACAGCCGCTTCCTCTCCTTCTTTCTCTCGCGCTCATTATTTATTGACTTCAGTTCTAACCCGAAATATTCATCTTCCCAACGACTGTCTGTATCCCATATGATACGGAATAAAGCATCAAACCACCTCTTCATCAGCACATGGCACTTATTGCTATTTATAGCCCACTCATGAAACAAACGGGACGATGCCAAACAACTACGTTATGGAGAAATACTGTGTGTGTGAGAGACACTCCCGAGTATGTCGCTCACGTATGTGATACATGGGTGTAGTGATAGGGGTGTCGTACGAGAATAAAGCGACCTCCTCGAAACTAAGATTAAAAGCACGCAGCTCCTCAATATTCCTTAGGCCCTCCAACTCCGTGCACCGAACTTGTGCGTTCCGCTTGGGATCGAGGAACTCAAACAAGCCTGTTTTTCTCCACTGAGTTACAAGATGCATGGCCAAGACAAATCGACCTACATCCTCACCTAAATCATCTGTTATTGACCATCGCTTCCTCTCTAGTAAAAGCGAAAGCCAGACCGGACCCGAGCAAATTCCTCCAGGCCATTCGACCATCGCGTTGGTTACACGACCGCCACTGCGTACCCACACTTCGTGCGCCGCATGCAGCGCATCAAAAATCAAAGTCACGGTTCCATCTTGATCGGCATCGTTTTCCGCGCCCTCCTCAGCGACCGCATCACTCGCCACTACCTTATTGCGCTCCTCACCTGTAGTTCTGCCTCCCTTACCGTCAGAACCATTGCCACCAACACTGGTACCGTTAACCCCGTTTCCGTTAACCCGGTTTCCGTTAACCCCGTTTCCGTCAACACCATTTCCGTCAACATCATCGTTGCCTTTAATATCGTTGCCGTTAATGTCGCTGCCGTCAACAAGGTTTCTTGGGAATACTCCAATTGCACAATCCCACTTGCCAGATGTCTCACCAAAAATTTCATCATACTCATAAGCTTCGATCTGGTTAGGTAGCAGCTTCTGAAGCACAAAGAAGAGCACCCGCACTGAAGAGTGAAGACTCTGCTCAGTGATAATCATTGCTCAATATTTCCCGGGAGCCCCCCACGGTCGAATAAGTATTGCGCCGGACGGACTGTTCCGTCCAGCGTTTTTTTTCCATTCCGATAGACAGAGGAAGGCAGGACAGCGAACGAGCTGTCAGCCTTTTCGTTTGCTCTGAAGACTGCCAATCACGAGCTGCAGTCGGCGTTAGAGTCGGTGACAACGTTGGTGGCAGCGTGGACGAGATGGGTGACATGAGTCTGTGAGTGTCGGGGGTTCAAGTTATTGGTTCCGCGCGAGTGTGGGTATAAAAGGGCAACGTACAAAAGATTGGCGCGTGTGGGTGGTAAGCCAAGGTTATAGGTGGACTGCCTATCAGTCAGGGGACTGCCTATCAGTCAGGGTACACTAAACTAGCTATAAGGGTAGGCTGCATGTGGCGCTTGCCTGTTCCTCTGGCTCCACTGCGATCACCTCGCGTAGGGTGAGAGTTCATCTGGGTTTATCTAGGAAGGCTAGCCAAATCGAGTTGGGGGATCAGTAGGCGGCTTCAATACGTTCGCAGAGTGAGAAAAGGCGGTCGCTGAGTAGGTATCGGAGTGCAATGGGTCCGCGACTTTCGGTGACTTGTCTGCAAACTTCACTGAGTGGTGCATCGCTAACGGCGGGCCAAATTTCTCCGTCGCGTACGAAGGACAGATCTGTGACGATGGAGTGTACGTCGAATGGTCCTAATACGTCTCGGACGAGCTTCTCTGCGAGTATCATGGCAGCGTCTCGTGTGGTTGCCCCAACAGCGAGTTTCATAGGTCGTTTGCTAAGTTCTCTGGCCATGCTGCATACGGCTGTGGGTAGATTATGGTTAAGGCATACGAGGAATATTTCTAGGCAGCCGGAGTCGTCTGCGTACATTTCTTCCATGGTGGGTACGTTGTAGATGGGTGGTATTACACGAGGAATAATGGTTTTCTTATTGGTGCTGCCTTTTGGTCTTCCCCGTTTAGCGCGGGTCGGTAATTCTTCGTCTTCATCAAGGGAGACGTCATCTTCGCTCTCTTCCTCTACACTCTCTTCCTCTTCCTCATCTTCACTGGGTAACGGGGACGAGGAAGATGTAAGCTCCGGCTCACCACTTTCCGCGCTACTGGCCTCTACAGACTCCCGCGAACGTGTCCGATCGAAGTGTTGCAATGGCTCCAAGTCAGGGAACAAACGCTGAATTATCAGATCCATGTTCTTGTCTGCCCTCAATACTCGTCTTGAAGGTATCTTACACACACATTGCGGACATGTCTGCTTCCCACTACGCAACCATTTCTGTATACAGTCATTACAAAATCGATGACAACACTCCTTCACAGTCATAGCCTCCTTACATAACCCCTTACATAGATAGCATGATAGATCCTTTAAAATCTCCGTGTGTGACAAACATAACACACTATCACCCAACTCTGACGCTACATATTTTGGGTCACGAACTGGACGATATATATCAAATAGCTCACAACCGAAATCCATTAATAACCGAGCCGTGTCCTCACTCACCCGCTGCACACGCCATGGTGACCCCTCGTAATCTTCGAACTCCTGACTCAATGCCATCTGGCTCTGAGCCAGCCCCATCTGACCTTGAGCCATTTGGCCTTGAGCCATGTGGCCTTGAGCCATGTGACCTTGAGCCATGTGACCTTGAGCCAGCCCCAACTGACCGCCGTGTGCCATGTGGCTCTGGCTCATATGGCTTTGGGTCATGTGACTCGGGCTTCCGCCATTTGCCAGATCTGAATACGTGCCACCCTCACGACCCACGCCTTCACGATTGAAAGCGTGCGCGAACTGCAGGTACTCGCCGCGCCGCATTCGAAAACACCAATTTCGCCGACCGCCACGTGCGGTCAAAAATGTGCCCAATCTCGCACGGAAAATGAAGCCAACCGATGGAGGCGATTCAAACACTCTCTTCTACACTGCTCCTACCCCCGCACCAACAACCGTTCTAACCGGTGATGCGGCAGCCGCCTCCCCGGTTTCTGCCTCCCCGGTTTCTGCCTCCCCGGTTTCTGCCTCCCCGGTTTCCCGGTTGGATAGAAATAAAATGGAACGTAGGCAACTAGAGAACAAACCCCCACAACAGACACGGGAAGACGAACCCGCACCGGAGGAAGCACCGGAGACGTCCGGGGAGAGAGTGGGGGAGGAGCCGGACCTGGAAAACAAAGTGGCACGGGATAACAGCATCGGGTGGGGATTCGATTTGAATTTGATAGGTGACACGTTGGCTGGATTCGGAGACCAAGTGAGCAAGACTTGGCAGGATCTGGGACGCAAGATGCTGGAACCCGGGCTCGTTGCGTTTGGTCTCGAGCACCCGGCAGAAGTCTCGGAGGCGCTCAACTCGCAAGAAGACCCACTCCAGACCGACTTGCTCTCAGTGGAAGACCAAGAAGCCATCGAGGCATCGACCCTGAAGCAACTGAGCATCGAATCGACCGAAGACGGAGACGAGAATGCAACGGGAGGAAATGTGCCGGATGAGACTGAATCGCAGGCAAAGGCGAGAAAGAAGTTTGTGGCTCACGGAATTTTGTCTCAAACCGACCTTGAAGGTGGACGTGCTGATGCGGGTAAAGGGTTGGAGGGAACAGAAGTCGGCCCACCAGAGTCGTCCGACTCGACGTTGGCGGACACAGTTGCAAAGCCTTCTCGTCCAGAAATGTTTCCCTTCGGGGCTAACCGTCAGCAAGTCGTCACGCAAGCTAGGATGGATGCTAAGGCACCTGTAGCCAGAGCTAGCAAGTCCTCCGAAGTAGCGGAGGCTACAGGGACGAAGGCTACAGGGGCGAAGGCTACAGGGGCGAAGGCTACAGGGGCGAAGGCTACAGGGGCGAAGGCTAACGAGGCTATAGATGCTGACGCCCCAAAAGCCAAGTCCTCTGTGGCCGAGTTGTACGATAACCGTGATCCAAAATTCGGCGGACCTCTCTACCAGAAAATGCTGGAAATTGAAAAGGAAGTGGCGGTTCAGCTCGAGGCATTACTGGACAAAAGCCCTTCGCCGCTTGATAGACATCCCGCGAGGTCTAGAAGCTCGTCTCCGAGCCCGCCGATTGATAGGAATTAGCCTGGGTCAATACTAGCATTTGCCGATTTAACACACGCGTGCGACAAGTCTGAAAGGTGAATTACCAAGCGTATCTGGGCGGTAAACTTGGCCCAAAAAAAAAAAAAATTGGATATGAAGTCGATGAGGGCAGTTCACGCCTCGCACTTTGGAGTGTCGGTGCCGGTGGGATTGGCGTTGGCCCAAGGTCCCCTGACGGAAGTTGTTTCCGACTTGGGAGAAACCTCAGTAGAAGGTGCTAAAGTCGAAGATAAACCGCAGAGTATAGGGGCCGTAAGGGAGGCGGTGAAGGAGGCGGTGAAGGAGGCCGTGGAGGAGGCCGTGGAGGAAGTAGCGAAGGAGCCTGCGCGGATGAAGGCTCATCCTGGGATGGGTCTAAGGTCACATCCAGGTATGGGTCTAAGGTCACATCCAGGTATGGGTCTCAAGGCTAAAACTAAGACGCTGGCATCGGAGACGCCGGTATCGGAGAGGACGGAGTCGACTTCAGCTACGGCTTCGGCTTCGGCCACGGCTTCGGCCACGGCGTCGGCGTCGGCGTCTGACGAGCCCGTGAGCAAGGATGAAGAAAAGATAGTGTCGGGCCGAAAATTTAAGACGGAGGAGGAGTTGAGGGAAGAGGAGTTGGCCTACCTGAAAGAGTTGAATAAAGAGCTTGATGTGGAGGTGAGTGCGGCAGATACGGAGACGGCGTTGCAGGACTTTGCACAGACGGGTGAAATGGATGATAGAGATTTGGGTCCGATGACTTTGGCGGAGGTGGAGATGGTGGATTTTTCGATGAAGCCTTTTTGTACATATCGGGAGAGAGATGCGATTGTAGAGTGGATGAACAAATACGATCCTTATCATGTGGATCCGGACCGAGTAAAGAAAACGAGTTTGTTGGAGATTGGAATGCGAGCTTGGGAGCTTGTTCCTGGTAATTGTACAAGTATAATGTTCCCGAGTGAACGAGAACGTATCCGTCGTCAAAGAGTACGGCCTGACTATGCTGGAGCTGTGTCTGCAGTGGATCTGCCGTATGAGGGACCATTATTTACTAATGAGAAAGGAGAGACACATCCAGCAGAGTCAATTAGTATCAGAGTGCGTCGGGGAAAATTTGACCCAATGAAAGAGAGAACGGATAAAGATCATGCCTACCCTGAATTTACAGATTTATATGCGAACAAGTTGGATACAGAGGTTAGTACATATCTTATTACCGAAACAGAGTGGAATAATTTACTCCAGGAGATGATACAACCGACTACTGGTCCATGGGCCAACAAATATCCTATGGGAATACCACATGACTTTGATATGTGGAGAGAACCATTACCTAAAGAAGATGAAGTTTACTATGGTGTTCCTTTAACAACTCTAAAACACCCTTACGACTGGCATATATTTAGAGCCGATATAGCCACCTTAGTCCAAGAAGAAGTTGACCGTATCATTCATATCAGTCAAGGTCATTATAGAAATCACAAGAAACGAGAACAAATAGTTCAGGATGTTTGGGCAAGCTTCAGTATACGATTGGTTCACTACGATCATGGAGAAGAAGTCTTGAGAAATAGATTTGAAGAACGTGCCTTGCTAGGCTTCTATAAGGGCAGAAGACATGCCACTGATTTCTTCCACAGGCATCATCGTAGACAGAGGACGCAACAAATCATAGGACAAATGGTCGATGTATACTTACAGCACTTCCCGAAGGAAGAGGTACTACGTCACAAAAGATTCCAAGAATTTATTGAAAAAGAGAGAGTTGCTGAGGAAATTAGGAGACAGCAAGAAAGGAACGAATGGATCGAAAAATACAGAGCAGGAGTTAAATGGTACCTTGTGCCTTGGTATATGCTTCAAAGCATGTTCTACTAGAAACTTACACTACCGTTACCTCGGTTCCGTTGCACCTCGGTTCCGTTACCTCGGTTCCGTTGCACCTCGGTTCCGTTACCTCGGTTCCGTTACCTCGGTTCCGTTGCACCTCGGTTCCGTTACCTCGGTTCCGTTGCACCTCGGTTCCGTTGCCTCGGTCGCGAGTGCTTCGTTCCGAGTTTTTCGCTTTGCAGAACTGTGTGCCATTTGTGTCTAGGAGGTTTTCTGCTGATGGACTTTCCCGAAGTGATTACTGCTTTGAAGTCGCCACCTGTATCGGGGTGGTCCCGGAAGTTGGTGACGCGTGGTTTTTTGTCGGCATGCGCAGGTTCGATTCTGGGTATGGCGACGTCAGTGATTTTGAATGTTGCATTGGTGGAGATCACAATCAGTTCATTCTTTGCGGCGTACTTTGGATTGCTGTTTATTTGTACGGGGGGCATTATTGCTTGGAGGGTGTTGGGAGCTCCTTTGGCGGATGAGAAGGCGCGACAGAGGCAGCGTATATTCCTTGCTCTGAGCTTCCTGGTTTCTGTCTCGGGCTTGATTTGCATCACTATGCAACGAGGTGGATGGTTTTATCGAAGTCCGAAGGTGCTCAAGGTTGCCGTTTATACGCTTCTCGGTGTATCGCTAGCTTTCGCACTCATCTTCTCTGCCATTGACCTTATCAATGTTGGCTTCGGCATCTGCATGCTCACATCTACACGCTCTCCCGTCGAGAGCAATGTACAGGTCTCGCTCATCATAGCCGTCGCCCTCCTCATGGGATCCATCTTCGGCTGCATGTACGGACTCCTCGACGTCGCCAACGAAATAAGCTACCACGTCAAACTCAGCCTACTTAAAGACGAAGCCTTCACCTACCCCATAGGAGGACTACTCGGCGCACTCGCTGGCTTCGCCAACGAATACCTCCGAAACCAAGAAGAAGCGTACATACAAATCAAAAGACAGGAATATGACGCCGACATTTAAACCACCCTACCGACACCCAAGTGGATCGGACCGGGCACCCAAGTGGATCGGACCGGACACACAAGTGGACGGAGTAGACAGGACACACAAGTGGACGATTTTATGCCGACTAACATTTCGTTACATGAAGGAGAGTGTGCGTACACACATTAAGGAGCTGGAGGAAGAGGACAGATGGAATAGCTAGGGACTAGGGTGCAAGTGTGTGTTGGGGCTATACAGGGGTTGGGACTTGGCTTTGGTCCGGTGGTTGGGGTGAATTGGGGCGCTGGGAGGCAGTTAATATTTTTTGTTGAGGGGGTGCGAGGCATGAGTTGATGATTATGCCGGTGGTGCTGAAGACGAATGTTAAGTCGCAGTATGTATTCAAGGAGCGGCTGGGGGAAGGTACGCATGGCGTTGTCCATTTGGCTACGGAGAGATCGACGGGTGTGGTACGTGCGGTGAAGAAGATTCGAAAGCGAGCTGGTTTGGATATTCGTCGGTTTAAGCGCGAGTTAGAGGTACTCATATCGTTTCGGCATCCACAGATAGTGAAGGTGTACGAGGCGTTTGAGGACACACATGCGTTGTATATAATCATGGAGCACTGCAAAGGTGGGGACCTTTGCGACCGGCTGGAGTTGGAAGGCAAGTTCCCCGAGGCAGTGGTAGCGTTCTTCATGAAACAAGCACTAAGTGCTGTGGCCGCCTGTCACGAGGCGGGTATAATGCATCGAGACATCAAGGTTGAAAACTTCCTCTTCACCGACAAGGACGTCCGCTCCCCCCTTAAACTCGCAGATTTTGGACTCTGCCGCTACATTGACAATTCAGACCCTCCCAGTTTGGTCGGAACCGTCAATTACCTGGCCCCCGAGGTACTTTCGCTTCGTTACGGACAACAGGCAGACATCTGGAGCCTTGGTGTGGTCATGTATCTATTGCTCACAGACAAATTCCCTTTCGGCGAAAAAGCCACCACCGAAAACGAGGTGCTTAAAGATATCACTCACGGGCAAATCAACTTCCACCACAGCGGGCTTAGTCGCTATGCTGTGGACCTTATCAACGCCCTCTGTGCCAAAGACCCTCTGCAACGCATCTCCGCCAAACACGCTTTACAACACCCCTGGATCCGCTGCTTCGTACCCAACCCAATCGCGCTCTTCCCCCTCATATTCGAAGACTATTGTCTGCGATCTCCCTCGCCCACCAGAGGACAACATTCTAAGGAAAAAGGACACACTAAAGAAAGAGGAAAGAGCGAACCAAGCGTATTTACTGCTCTCAAATCTAGTATTGAAATGAATGCCCGAAAGCATACATGCACAACCATGAAGAAAACGAATCATAGGAAACCCTCTTCCAAACACGCCGGCGCAGAGGGTAACTTTACTCCCCTACATACTGACCCTCCCCTCCAGACTAACGCTGGTACGGAGGCCGGCGCTGCTGCGAACGGTACCGGTATATCTGGTGCACTGCCGGGAACCTCCCCGCCGGGAATTTCTCTGGCGGGAATTTCTCTGGCGGAAACTTCGCTGCTGGGAACTTGCGCGCATCCCCTCGGTAATGCGCAGGGGGCGTCGGTCCACGAAAAGCAGGTCCGGCTTACGCCTACGCTGGACACTGGTCAGTGTGCTCGCCAGTCGTTGTCGTCATGCGGTGACCACCACCAAGATGAGACCGCTCCAAGGTCTCTTGCGCCGCGCGATGATTCGGACAGTGTTCCAAATTTGGAAGACTGTGTCGCTTCGAGCCCAGAAATGTGTGGGTCTGGAGCAGATGGCTCTCCACCAGATGGGACAGGACCAGACGGGACAGGACCAGACGGGACAGGACCAGACGGGACAGGACCAGACGGGACAGGACCAGACGGGACAGGACCAGACGGGACAGGACCAGACGAATCTCCACGAGAGAGAAGACGAGACGGGCCCCAGCTAGACGCCGCGCTGCGGCCTCACTGGAGTGGTGCTGCGGGTATGGGGAGGAGTCTGACGAGTCGAAGTCCGTCGCCGGTTCGTGTTTCGCCGCGATGCTCCTTGCTGTCCCTCATTTGTGACCACATGCAAGATGTCCCGCCTGTTCGGGATCGGAGTGCCCCTGGCCACAGTGGTTCGGGTAACAATGGTTCAGGTCACAATGCCCCAGGTCGTAACGGCCTGGACAGCAGTGACGGCGAGAGAGGTATGGTTGAGAGAGGTATGGGCGCTGCAATGAACAATGAGCACTTCTGTTGCGACCTAATTCAAATCGGTCCACGACACTCGAGACGGTGTGTACACAGGTGCACGCGACCCATGTGCTCTTTAATGCGGTGTCGGATGCAGTCGACGCACTTGGGGCTGGTCGATCTGCAGTCCGCCCAGTTGTTAGGCCGGCGCATTTTGGATCGTTGGCGAGCTTACAAGACGCTAACGAGCACGGAAAAAAATATCCTTGCCGCTGTAAGCCGACATATGCACTCTTCCGAGACCGATTATCTCACTTATCTCTACGACCTACTCGACGTCGAACGCTGCGGCATGATCCGCAACGACGTTCTTTGCCGCGTCATGGCTTTCCTTTGCCATGCGAGCGCCCTCAAATTCGTCCCTCTCGGAAGCCACGACCCAACAGATAACCTGACACCGGACAACCCGACGCCGGACAACCCGAGGGCGGACGACTCGAAAGCGGACAACCGGAGGCTGGACGGCCCAAGGGACGCAGATTTGGCGGGCAACCAGTTGGAAGCTGGCCCACGGAAAGCAGACCAACGGGGAGAGCAGTCGGGTGAGGCGGTAGGGAACACCCCGGTCGCTGTTGGATCCGTACTCGGGCCGGCCCCGGTTGATGAGAGTCCGCTGCATGCGCCACCCGGTTTGTTGCCCACAGGTCGCGACGACCCTGCGCGAGTTGTGTCCCCTGTGGCCGGGCTGAAGTCTCGTCTGGCCTCGCCTGCGACGGTTCTGTCCGCGAGCACCATTTCCGGCGGGGGATCTTCGCTGCACTCCTCTTCCTCGAGAGACCGGCTCCCTTCGCCTCTGATGCCGGTCGAGACGGGGCTGTCTGCGCCACAAACTGTTTCGTCCATTCGCGCTGAAGTACTCTCCAACGCTGTACTCTCAACGACTACAGCACCGACCGCTGAGCGGCGGGGCGGCATCAGAACTGTGTCGCACGTCCCCCCGGAACTGGGACCCGTCCCGCCGGAACTGGGACCCGTCCGGTCGGAATTGGGACCGGTCCCACCGGAACTGGGACCCCTCCCATCGGAAGCTCGGCTGGTCTGGGACCTGGGGTCTTCTCCGCTGAACCACCGGGTGGTGATGGACGACGAGTCGTTTGCAGCGGTCGAGACAGCGCCCGGCGTTGAACCTGCGACTCATGATTATAGGGAGCGGAATTTGGCTAAGGAGCGGAATTTGACTAAGGAGCGGAATTTGACTAAGGAACAGAGTCCGTCCCCAAACCGGACTCCGTCCTCAGAGAGGAGTCTGTCCCCCGAGCGCAGTTCAATGAAGTGCGAGGAACAGGCATTGTGGTATACGGCGCCGGTGTACGGTGCTAAGCTCCTGCACGGCGATGTGGATGACAGGTTGGTATGCTCGAATTTGCGTTTGGATGCGCGGTCACCCGGCTACCCGGCGTACCTCAGATTGTTAGAGGAATTGCGGGGGTTGGCGGCCGAGCACCTGGACTTGAACCGTGACGGTGTGGTGGAGGTTGATGAGTTCTGCGGTGCCTGTTTGGATCAAGCGCTACTCACTAATCCGCTCGCATCGAAAATGCTCTTCAATACTCTCAACGTTAACCAGACCCAACGCGTTACTATATCCGACTTCCTTGAAGCCTTCGGGGGTCTCCCGTCGGCAGAGTCTTCGGAACTCATGGTCAACGTCGACCCCGACGGCGACGGGTTCGTCGAAGAACGCGTACGCAAACACCCATCGAATCACTCACAGCCCACTCACTCCCAACCTGACCCAATGGAAGAGCGGAAGACCAACCCGTCGGAACGCAATCCGCAGGCGTGCAGGGACACTGGCGGTACTGCCGACAGGGACGCCGTCAGGAGGCCCGTGCACTCCTGAACGAGCGCCTAACAATTCGAACGCTTAACGGCCCGAGCATGCACTATTCGATCACGCACACACCCTGATCACACATACGACCCACCCTGATTGAAAGGACGCGCTGTTTCGCTAGGGTCTCGAGACGTTGCTGGTCAATTCCGCTGCCCGTTTGTCGCGGGGTGGTCACGCCAAGTTGTGTGAAGAAAGTCACGAATCGATTTTAACCGACTCATTGTCGCCTCGAGACACGTTGGATTTTCGACACCTAATCCCCAAGTTTGACCGCCTCGCTAATTAGACGCGCCGCTAATTAGACGTGTTTCAAATCAGACGCGTTTCGAATTAGACCGCTCAACTAGCGGTGCCCAACCAACGGTGCCCCTTGGCGGCGCCCTTAGTAGCCTCTAGCAGGGTAGTACTGATTGGGGGCAGGGAACTTGCCTTGGCCTAGTTGACGTCCATCCTCGGCGTCCGCAGCTGCAGTGGCGGGAGTCACTTCTACCCGGACCGTCGCCACCGGGGCAGGGTCCGCGTTAGAGAACGTGGGGGCAGGACCGGACACAGGTGGTCCCTGCGAGGCCGTGGGGTCAGGACCAGATGTCACGGAGGCCTGGGAGGCCGTGAAGTTCGGAATTGAACTGTCAACGACTCCCGGCTCGGAAGGGGGCGCGCTGGGCAATGGAGAAGGAGGCGCCGGCGCCGAATTTGCCTGTGGTGACTGAGCCGGTGCTGCCCCGGGAGCCGGATACCCTCCTGGAGGTGGGTAGCCTCCTGGAGGTGGGTAACCTCCTGGAAGTGGGTAGCCTCCTGGAGGTGGGTAGCCTCCTGGAGGTGGGTAACCTCCTGGAGGTGGGTAACCTCCTGGAGGTGGATAGCCTCCTGGAGGTGGATAGCCTCCTGGAGGTGGATAGCCTCCTTGCGGTGGGTAGCCACCTTGCGGTGGGTACCCTCCTGAAGGAGCATAGCCCCCCGAAGGTGGGTAACCTCCTTGCGGCGGGTAGCCTCCTTGCGGTGGGTAATGGCTTCCCGGTGGTGGGTAGCCTCCCGGTGGTGGGTAACCTCCCGAGGGTGGAAGGTAACCTCCCGAGGGTGGAGGGTAACCTCCCGAAGGTGGGTAGCTTCCCGAAGGTGGGTAGCTTCCCGAAGGCGGGGGGTAGCCTTGCATGGCGGACGGAGTTGCGGCTGGGCCCGCCACTTGTCCTCGGTTAGGTTGGAAACCTTGTTGACCGGGCGGCGGTTGTTGTGCTGAAGATGAAGGCGTGAGCAATGGAAGGTGGTTTACCTGGTTGGGTGAAGAAGATGCGAGTCGGGTCGCCCTGGTCGATGTAGGCTCTAACCCCGTCCAATATTTTGCCGGTTTCGGCGGTCGCGTCGCCTCCGTGTTTTTTGGCAGAGTCCATCAGGACTAGGAAGAGTTTGACGAACGTGTAGCAAGAGTTCTTGAAGTCCAGTTGGACCTCTGCGGTGCTTTCATACTTGTACTGCTGGGCTGCGGGATTCGGGGAACAGCTCCAGGTCAGGTTGTTCGATCCGAATATAGGCTGATTAAACTCCGGCAAGTCCCCCGTCTTGTTGTAAATTTTGTTCTAAGACAAATCTGTTGGTCTTAAAGACAGCACTTACGAAAGGAAACTCGCAACTCGACCAGTTCTTATGCTTGCTCACATCACCGTGTTTGAGAAACACAATTCTCCGGGACGTCAGAAAGGACACTCCCTTTCCAGAGTAAGTCCTGTAGAATAAACATCTCATACAAACATCAACCATTACTTACTTGCCGTTAACAATCATCTTCAGCGCCGTCTTTTCCCTCACAACCAACAGCCGCTCTCCATTCTCGCACAGAGGCATTAGCGATTGGTTACCTTCTGGAACCAGTGGGTAGTAATGGGACGGGGGAGCCAGACGGGAAATTCCCGAGCGGCCAAGCGGCGTCATGAGTTGGCGCGAACCGGCCGCCATGGGGCGAGACACGGAATCTGGGGTATTCGAATGAACACGGGGTTATACTTACGGGGGTCATGCGTCCTCACTAAAATGGGGTTAAATGACATAGAAAAATGTGTCCGTTAAAATCAGCAACCTGCATCTTATTAGTTCTTTGTCAAGAACAATTTGTACGGGAGCAGGCCGCTCTCATAGAAGTAAAATGGCCAAGACCGAACACGTGTGTGCACCTTTAGAATATATCGGAATGGGTTGAATCCGGTTCAGACCCGGTTGCTATGATGGACGAGTTAATGGAAGCTAGCGGATTGGAAATCCCGGCGGTGGTGAGCGAGCTGGTGGAAGCGGAAACCACCTTATCTCCTTCCGTTACAGATCCTGATCGTATGGACTTTTGCGACCGAGATCATATATACGGATGCCCTTTGGGATGGCTTCCCAAAAAGAGTAATCCGGTGAAGGTAAGCGACTGTGTCCCTCCAGTGGATCAGTTGCTGGCCAGTGAACAGCTCGTAAAGCAGCTACCCGAGGACCCTATGCTGGAGGGTCAGAAACAGCCTTGCGTGGTGACCAGGTGTGCCACTGATGACGTCAGATACCCGTTATATACTCAGCCTTGTCCGGAGAACTGGACGTTCGACGGGTCAACATGCACAAGTCCCGGCGAATATGACGGCCCTTGCATAGGCAGTTTCTCTTTCCCGTCCATCACGACCAAAGAAACATTCGCCGTCGTCTGCAATGCCCCCTGGTCATGTGAATGGCTCCCTCCTTGTGAGTCTTGCCCCTGGAGATATACTGCGAAAGACGGCATCTGCAAAACTCCACGACTGGGCGAGACATTGGGTAGGGAGACGGCGGCGAGTGACGAGTCGGCAGTGGACGCGCGTTGCGACCAAATCGACAGCTCAGCAACGAGACAAGAACGCGAAGACTTCCAGTCCGTCTGCGGTCCGCTGGCCTTCGTCTGTGTCTCTCGAGATGATTGTAAACGGGACTACAGCAGCTGCCCAATGGGCTCACTCACGCTTGGTCCTCATGTGTGCTTCTTCAATGACCCTGTTGCTGACGAGTCGGGGTGCCCACGAGTTCTCGATCTTCTGGAACTAGACCAAACTACCAAGGCAAACCTTGCTGCACGGTGTGGCCTAACGTTCCCCTGTCTCCGGGACACCACCAAAGACGAAGAGATTCTCAAAGCTAACGGAATCTCCGAAACATCCAACACCCCCGCAATCCCATACGGGCCGAGGAAATGGCGCCAGACCTCGCAGGCAGTCCTCAGCCAAGAATAGAGCGTGGGTATAGACGGGTATACAGTCGTGGTGTGGTCTATCTAGCTTACTAAACCCACTGCAGGTACCCGGCGTCCCACTCGCGCCCGTCGCCCGCCTTTGTGTCGGGGTATCTTTTTCTGCAGTCTTCTCCCGCAGCTAGCTCACCGCGTCCCCCGAAAGAAGGAGTCCAGCGTCCGGCCCGACGACCGAACGGGAGGAGACTTCCGCGTTGGTGGTGTCATCTTCGCGGTCGGCTTGACCCCAGAGAAACCTGCCAAAGAGACGCTGGTCAAGGGGGGTCGGGGGACGCTGGTCAAGGGGGGTCGGGGGACGCTGGTCAAGGGGAGGGTAGGTCAGTTGGTCGGTGGATTGGTTACTGAGTCCGCCGTCTGCGGTTTGGTGAACCCGGACATTTTCAGTGCCACCAGATGTCTGCAAGAAGGAAGTGGGTTGCCGCTGCGACGCCCCACCGTCGCCGCAGTGGTCGGCCGGGACTTGGGGTGCGGTCACGTCGCTTGGGGAGGTCTTCTTGGACGTCTTGACCAACTCCTTCGGAAAGAGTTCCTCCTTTGAAAAGAGTTCCTCCTTCGGGAAGAGTTCCTCGTCGGCGAAGATGTTGGGCGTGCACTCGGCGACCATCTGCGTAAGGCCAAGCGGAGACGACTTCCGTACCGCCGCGGCGGGAGACTCTTGAACCGTCGTGGTTGATTGCTGCAGCGTAGCTGTTGACTGCTGGAGGATAGCCGTGGACTGCTGAAGGGTCGTGGAACCGATTCTGTCTTTTTTGCCGGCTTTCCTTCTCTGCTTTCGCGCGGGCACAGCAGGACTGGACGGCTCTTCTCGGAAGCACGCAGCCACGGGCGAGAAGTCCGTCTGAACAGTGGAGACTATGGCCGAACCTGCTTTGGCCGAACCTGCTTTGGCCGAAGACGCTTCAACCAAAGACGGTGGACAAGGAGACTCGGTCATGAACGACTTGATGCTGCCTGCCCTTCTCTGCGCAGCCGGAACATTTCTTCCGGATTCCGCATTGTCGACCTTCGCGACCTTATCGGCCTCACTGGGCCGGACCGGAGTAGGCCCAGCGACCGAAGTGGGTCCCACGACCGAAATGGGTCCCACGACCGAAGGGCAACCGGAAGCTGGACTGGGAGCGCCGGCAAGGACGGGAGTCGTATGGGTCTTAGTCGTTTGGCATCTGGCCATAGTGTTCTGTGTGGCCGGCGACGGTGGTGTCACGCCGAAGATGCGTCGGTCCAACTTACTCAGTACGTGGGCTGCGTGAGGCGCAATGTACAGCTCGTTCTTTTCCAGACAACTTTTGGCCCGGGTTCGTAGGTCGTGGAATGCGTCATCGGGGGCAATCAGGAGCTTATCATCTATACACCCAACCGGCACTATCTTGAGCGTCTGTACGAAAACCGTATCTAGGTTTTCAGGTCCATATACTTGGGCTACTATGGGCAGACAACATGTCAAAAAGGGCGGACAGATACAAATATGTGGACCACATGATGCGAACGAGTAGCTGTGTGAGGAGACACATGGTAGACGGGTGGATGACATACATGTTGAGGTCGGCGGCCACTCAGCTCGTTTTGCGACAAGATCTTTAACCCTGATTTCAAATTGATTTATACGTCCATAGAAGGTAACTATCAAGTCTCTGTCTGTCTTGAGGCTGTCATCCTCCAAGATTTCGCTAGCTAGCTGGTATAACGCTCTGCAAAAAACACTCAGCCATTTTCCACAGTCCATTCACCCAGCAGTGTCCAAGCGAATCAGGTTCAAGCCAATGGCGTCAAAGACAGCGTAGTGCATTCACTTATCCATAGGGAATTCGTTGACTGTGCTGTTGGCTGTGCTCGTGGCTATTTAGAGCCACTCCACACTAAATGGCGCAGTAAACTAACCTTTTACCAGCCGTCCCATTCCACGAAAAGAGAGAACAAACCGACAACCAAGACATTTCCTTGTAATGTTCCAAGAGAGAAGTTTTAAGAACGTCCATATACGTCGTCGGAAAAATTTTATAAAAGCATTTGTTCTCTCTCGGTCTTGATTTTCCAGTTGCTAAACAAACGGTAGATAGATTCATTCTGAACCCGACAGTCCGAATACAATACCCACTTTAGACCAGTCACAACTGTATTGCGGGGGGGGGGGGGGAGGGAGGGGCAGTCCGTGGTGTGTCAGTGTAGGAGCTCTTACTTATAGAAAGGATCGTACAGCCACTGACTGTCATCCTCATATATAGCAAATATGATCATCATGCAGCCAGTCATGATGGCCAGCGTGAGCCACATAAATTGCCATGCTTTCAGGCTCATGAAGGTACAGAAAACAAGGAAAATCCAGGACAACGTAGTAATCTCTAACACAGGAAGCATAACAGAACATATCCAGAAGACACTGATTGAACACGTTGCTTACTGGTCGCGGACATGTTGGTTGAAGTAATAGATCTAGATGCGGTCAGGAGCTGGATTGTGGGGTGGAGTAATTTTCTGTAGCTAATTCTTCCCCAAAAAATTGGAAAAAGGACTGGCCTAAAAATGTGGACCACTCAACCGCCACCGAGCTATCAGTCGTTGCCGATCCCAGTTGTTGACCACCACCATCACTGAACCTATCACCGAATCCACGACCAAAGGTACGATCGAACCAACAGCAAACCGCCGGATGCCTAGGAAATCGAACCACAAGGGAGTTGGCCAGTGGGAATGAGACGGGGGCTGATCTCGTTTGCAGGCTAGTGCATTCGGGCCCTTATGTCCCAGAGTTTGATTTCATCACCGGGTTGGGTGGGCGTGAGGTTGGTCCCGATTGCGGCTTCCACAGTGACGTTAGGTAGGAGTTGCACTCCGACGCCGAGGCCTGCATCTGCCCGCACGGCGCCGGGTGTGGCAAGTCCATCGAAGAATGTGAAGAGCCCGATGCTGCGGTGGGGGAAGCCTCGGCTTCCGAAGACGAGGTTCACGCCCATGGCCTTCGTCTCTTGGCCACCGAGCTGTTTCCAGTTGCGGAGGACACGCTCTCCGCCGAAGGACACATACTCGGTAGCCGGGATGCCGCCAGCATTGGCAACACCTGCTTCGGTGAGTCTTGCCTCGGCGACTCCCGCAATTCCGCCGGCTCCCGTAATTCCGCCAGAGCCGGCGCAGTCGTCGCTGGTGAGCCAGTTCACGGGACTTTTGGCGTCGGAGAGGCCGCGAGGTCCCCAGGTCGGCGAGTTGGTAAGACACTCGTAGGGATAGCGCACGTTGTTGCACAACGAGTCCATTGTGTCACACAACGCCTCCTGCTGCAATGGTTGCACCAACTCGGCATGGAACTTGTGGTCCAAGAACAAACGGCTACCGAAGAGCGTCCGGCCATGGAGCGCCGCCTGCAGCTTCACCAACGCACCCAAATTCCGACCTAGCGACACCGCAAGCATAGGTACAAATGACAGCGTCCCAAAAGTCGTCTTCTTCTCGGGACAACGTGGCAACACGTGCACTCGAGAATTGCTACAACACACACCTCTGGTGTACTGCCTCCATCCATTGTGTGCTGCCGATAGTGTGCCCCCCCCCCCCCCC